GGCCAGCCTGGGCTACACAGCCAGTTCTAGAACAGGTAGGACTGTTATATAGAGAAACCCTGAAAGAAAAAAAGAAAGAAAATTCCTTGAATCCACAAAAACAAGGAGAAAGAGAACGAGACACAGAATCAGAACATCCAAGTTTAAATACTGTATGATAGGATCAAACTGTTACAAATACAGGATCATAGGTTCACTTCTCACAAATAATGCCTTTGTTTCCCTGGGGGGATAAAGAGAAAATGCACAGTTCTTACAACTTAAAAAAAAAAATCCGTTTCCATCTTTCTTGCCTTTGCCTTTTCTCCTGTCTTAGTGTTTCTGTTGCTGTGATAAAACACTTTGACCAAAAGCAACTAAAGGAAGAAAGGCACCCTTCCAGGTCACAATCCATCACTGAGGGAACTCTGTGGAGGAGTGCTGCTTCTTGGCTTGCTCCTAAAGGCTTGCTCAGCCTACTTTCTTACACTACTCAAGGCCATACAGAACCTTTCCTGAGTTCCTATGGGTCTGGCTAGGCCCTGTCACTGCTGGCTCCTTAGGAGACAGTTCTTTGTCCAGCAATCCTGCTGTGCCCATATGCAAGAGCATTTAACCTTGCAGAGCCTCAGTTTACACATCTGTAAAATGGAGGATAAATTATGTTTTCTTCCCAATCTAAAAAATCCACAAAATGTTACCGGTACTATTATTAGTGTATCCAAATCAAACACTGACTAAACTCCAGGAGCAAGTACGTTTTAACCATATTTGGAATGCCATGTAAAAATGGGTGTGCGTGGCAGCACTGTAAGAGCTAACATTTTCCGGGTAGGTTTTAAAGAACACATAAGCACAGTGAAGCTTTCTATTTAGCACCCTATCACAATGGAGGTGCTTCCGTCAAAATGGATCTTCCTCCTAGTACTGTCTAGTTGTCCTTTCTGTACAAGCTTCCAGGCCCAGTCACTGACCATATCTAATCATTAAAAATGACCAAAAGGGCTGGGGAAATGACTCAGCAGTGAAGAATACTTGTTGCTCCTGCAGAAGACCTGGATTTGGTTCCCAGCACCTAAATGGTGACTCATAACCCTCTGTAACTCCAGTTCCAGGGGGTCAGATGAATTCTTTAGACACCCTTGGGCACCAGGGAAACACGTGGTACATATTCAGGGAAAACACTCACACACATAAAATAAAATAGATCTTTTAAAAAATGCCAAGGTAGCTTAGCAAAGAGCTGGTAAATTTGAAGAATCAGAACTGTCTGTCATTCAGCATCAGTTTCTAAGTACAGAATCATCCCGTCTGAAGATCAGCTACTTCAGCTATTTGCGATACCCGGCCTCTCCCATCGCTGTGTCTCCACTGAAGAACAAAGGCCTAACTGTAGCTTCACCACTGATATGGAGAGATGTTTACAACATGCATTTTTGGTGAAAAAAGGCAGCTGAGAATATGACTGGTAATATTAATTCCATTTTGGTAAGTTAGCAAGTTTGTCATGTTTTATTTATTTAGACAGTGTGTGTACATGTGTGGGTGCACACATGCCACAGTGTGGAAGTTGAAGGACAGCTTGTAGAAAATGGGTCTCTCCTTCCACATCGTTTGGGCCTCATGGATTGAACTCAGGTCCTCGGGCTTGGCAGCAAGGTCCTTTACCCACTGCACCACCGCCTCAGCATAAATTTATTACGTGGGTGGCTAGCACCAAATCCAGACTTTTTTTTTTAAGATTCTTTCTGTGTGTGTGTGTATGTGAATGTTTGCCACAAGTGTTGTGAGGTGTCATTGTTGGTGCTGAGAACCAAACTTGGGTCCTCTGCAAGACTAAACAAGAAGCACAAGTTTCTAACATCTACTTAATTTTTTTGTGTAACTCCATCTGACTTTTCTACAGCAAACACTTTTGGCTCCTGACATTATAATTCAAACAGGTGTCCATTCTCACATGAAAAGTGGTTTTGTACTCAAAGTATCACCAGCTGCGTCCCTGGAACATAGCTCAACGTGTCTGCTGCCAGACACCCTCTGCAACCTGTGCCTGAGGCTGGGCTGGGGTAGGGGTGCTGAGATGTTTCTAGGCATCAGCTATCAAGTGGCAAGGTGGCCCCAGATTCCTGTCTCCTGTACACCTCAACTTTCACAACCACTAGCTTCCCACTTACTAGTCACCCTCTGAAGAGATTACAAAACGTGACCAAAGGTCCTAAGCCATGGTTCAGGATTTTACCTGCCACACTCCCTGGGAGAATCAATGGCAAAACCACTCAGTTACTTTGGCAGAGATCCAAAAGCTGGAGTTAACTATTACCCTGCACTTTAGGCTATCCAATGCGAGGTCCAATATCCACTTTGGACCACCAGGCGAGGAGGGAAAGGATCATGGTTAACAACTTCATCTTCAAATACTTTATCGAATGCTTTTGAATAGAAAGTGCTGACCCAGCCAGGTGGTGGTGGCGCACACCTTTAATCCTAGCACTCGGGAGGCAGAGCCAGGAGGATCTCTGTGAGTTCGAGGCCAGCCTGGTCTACAGAGTGAGTTCCAGGACAGGCACAGAAATTGTCTGGGGGGGGGGGGGGGGGAGAAAGAAAGAAAAGAAAGTGCTGACCCTTGACCCTTGATAGATTCTATCTATTCTGGCTTACTGAAGCTGCCTTTGCAAGTTCCGCGATCTGATCCAGACTCATCACCAGGAAGAGGCATCATTACACTACAAGGTATAAAGGTTCTGGCAACTTAGTCACTCCTCAACAAGGAAGCATCTGAGAAACTGCAAGTTTACCAACTAGGAAAGGCTGGTATGAAGAAAGAGGTGATGGGCTGGGGATGTGGCTCAGTGGTAGAGCACTTGTTTATCCCAGTGGAGGCCCTGGAGTCTCTCTCCAGAACTGCACAAAGGAAAAAAGGAATACCAGATGGGATGGGGCCTCTTCAGAGTGGTGTAGTTCAGGGTTGTATAGCTACAGACCAAAATTAAAATGCACGCATACCCTCAGGACACACAAGAACCACAGACAGTAGAGAAGAAGGGGAGTAGAAACAGTGGGTGCCAGTCTTCATAAAAGTGTTTTGAGGCTCCCGCTGGGTGAACCAAGAGAGTATCAAACTCAGCAGGGCTCTGAGCCACATAAGCAACACTCTCAGGGCTGCTCATCCATTTCTGGTAGCATGATGGCTAAGCAAAGCTTTCTCACCTCCTCCTACCATTATCTTTTAATAAACCATGCCCAGTAGAGTTGAAAACGTCATCCAGCACCACCAACTGCAACAAAGGCTCACAGCATCACCACAGCACTGTTTTAAATGCAAAAGCACCAAGTGCCTTCTAAAAAGACTCAAACAATGACCACAGTGAGCTGAACCACCCACTCACCACCTTTCCCACCACCTCTCAGAGGAAACAGCAGAGATTGTGGACAAAGAGCGCACTTTGAGATGAAGGATTTGAGTATCCTTGAACTCTGGCCACACTTCAGAAGACTTCCCACTTGCCATTAACTCTCACAAAATAAGAAAGGTTCAAATCGGTTACCTTTCAACTAGGGTGCTATCAAAGAAAAGACAATGAGCAACTGACCACATTGCCTCTAGGGGATACAGGGAGAGACTGGTGAAAAACATAAGATGACCCTGCCTCTCTATCAAGTTCTGACAGAGGAAGTGGTTTTTATTTGAAAATTAAGACTAAAAATAGGACCCATTTTAATACTCTCCACTAGATGTCTTGATTTCAAGACATGTGCAAAGGCTGCAAGGCCCCAGGTCTCTGACTTTACAGCCCTGCCCACTTGTTTTCCACCTTAACAGGAGTGAAAAGTGGGAAGACACTGGGAGGCACTGAATTTGGCAAAGCATCTACCCGCATACTGCTGATCTAATTGCAGAAGTTGGGCACGGTAGTACTGCCTTTAGTCCCAGCACTCAGGAGGCAGAGGCAGGCAGATCGTTGTGAGTTCAAGGCCAGCCTGGTCTACATAATTGAGTTCCAGGACAGCCAAGCCTACAAGATAGAGAGACTCTGTCTCCAATAAACAAACAAAATTGCAAAAGCAGAAAAAAACACAACCTTCACAAATCCAAAATGAGGTGTCTAGTCAAAGATAAAGAAGCCTCACAAGTCTTCAACATGGCTAGGAGTTCTGATCTCTCCAATCCCCTCCCTGTGTCTTGTCATCCGGAAACACTGTCAAAGGGCAGCCTTCCCTGGGCGGTCCAAGATGCCTTACCTAGACCACTCTTCCCTGATACCTAACATCTTCCCAGTCTTGACTGAAATACCACCTTTGCAAGAGTGAAAGGTCGCCTTTCCCCCATTATCTTCTAAATATCATACCATTAACTTATGTATATCGTTTACTCTGTTTCTCTTTTTACGTAAGCTCCCGGGGAACGCGATCTTTGTTCTGTTCACTGATACTCATCACGAGCGTTCAGGGTCGTACCTGGCACACAGTAGGCGCTCGGAAAGCATTTCCCGAATAAATGCACTTCCTGACTAAAACTGCACCGACTGGAAGGGAGGAGATGGAATGGGAAGAAGCGGGAGAAGGATTCTCTGGGGAGAGACGGAAAGAGGCCAGGGCCGACCCACATTCCCCACAGCAGCGCCGGCGGGAGGCAGTGCACCACGTCCCGCCAGCGGCATCAAATGGCACCAAAGGCAGCAGGATCCGCGACAGACGAGCTCTCAAAATTCACGGAGCAAAGTCCAGGGCAAGAGCATACCCACCAGGCTGCGGGCTGCTGAAGGAAGCCCTCAGGGGTCCCGACCCGCAGCCCTTCTGCTCTCCCCTCCCCTCCGGATACCTGGGGCGCCCAGAGGCGCGGTAACGAGATCCAGGGCCCTGCCCCAGCACCTGCACGGCCAGCCGCAGGAGTCCTGGGCCGCGGCCCGCCGGGAGGCCCCAGGGCGTCCTGCCGCTTCGCCCCGCCCGGCACCCGGGCAGGAAGCGCCCCTACCCCGGCCGCTCCACCCGCCACCGCGCTCGCCCCGCGGCGCTCTTCTCACCTCAGGGCGCACGTACGATACGAAGGAAGGCTTGGGCGCCTTGGTGCCGCCGCCACCGCCGACTCCCCCTTTCCCCAGCATTCCCCCGCCTTGCGAAGCAGCGACGCGCGGCAGCAGAGGCGGCGGCTCAGGCTCGGGCTCCGGCAGCGGCGGCGGCCACCAGCACCAGCGGCCGGGGCTCCGCCCATCCCTAGGGCCGCGGCGGCCGCGGTACCGCCCGCATCCGGCTCCGCCGCTGACACCGTTCGCCCCGCCCAGGCCGCGCGCCCCGCCTACCGACCGCGGGACACGCCCACTGCCGCTCCCTCGCTTCTCAGGCTGCGAGGTCCCGCCCACAGCCCTGGGGCAGGACACGCCCACCCGAGCGTCTGCGCCCGTCTCCTGGCGGGCTCTGGTCGGCTGTCGGAGGCAGAGCCCGCCCCCCGGGCGTCCTCTGATTGGCACGGGGCACTACCTGAAGAGATATTTGCTCTAGCCAATCCTGAGAGCGTTCTCTCCGGACTTCACCACGATTGGATAGCGAGAATGTCGCCGTTTGTCCAATGATCGTGCGGTCACTAAGTTGTTGCAGGCAGCCGTTCAAACCCCTTTGCTTTATTTATTTGCCTGCAGCTTTGAAATTCAGCTTCCAAAAGCCTGCTTCAAGTTCACATCGACGACGTTCAGACTTTTAACTTTAGACGAAAGAGAGACAAGAGCAGACAGGAACTACGTAGTAGACTGAAGTGACCATAAAATGTTTTAGCAACTTCAAACTTCTGTTCGCTGCTTTGTTTCTAACTGGTAAGATCAAAAGCCCTCAAGACTTACCTAGTCTCTCAAGTTATCGACAAACCTCTCATTTTACGCCAAGATTGCAAATAGAACACACACACACACACACACACATACACACACTTCATTTAAATTCCACCTTCGGGACACTTGCCTCGCGTGAGCAAGACCAAAGTGAATTCTGCTTCTGAAGTATTGCCTTAGGCAGAAGAATAAGACTGGATGCAGCTCGCTAGAAGTTCCATCTACTGGAACAAGCCAATAAATATTTGCAGTTAAATTTTCAAGCACCAGGCACCTTGCTATGCATTAGTAGCTTGCTTTGTTTGTTTGTTTTTTGTTTTTAATCCCAGCTGAGTACTACTCCTTCCCAAAGCTCTTCGATATAAAATATAAGTGACAAAGTGGGAGTGGCGGTGCCCACCTCTCATCGCAGCACCCGGGAGGCCAGACAAGAAGATCGTGAACTGGGACCCGGAGGCAGTTTCAGGTCAACCTGGCCTTTAAATAAGACCATCTCAAAAACTAGCAAAAGATTAACTGAGATCCTCCAGGTTGGCTCCCAGGAAGAAGTCTAGGGACCCCCTCTTCAGTTGCCAGACAAATTCTGTTGTTTTTATGTTCAACATCTGGACCAATCCGTGAACAGAAACACTGGCTTTTGATGGAAATTTACCAAGCAAATGTCCCTCCCTTCAGGCCATCATGCGTCAGATATTACTTTATTACCCTGATCTTTAGTATCTGCCGATGGTCAAGCCCAGTTGTAATATGATTCTGGAAACTTGACACTGTCTCTGGATCTACACACTTCCCAGGGATTAAAGCCAACAAATCAGAGTTTTTAAATACCAAAAAGCCAGCTGGTTTGCCATTTTCTGAATGCCCCTGCTCCTCCCCTCCCCCTCCCCACTTCATATGTTAGAGCGTAATACCATGTGATACTGTTGAGAAATGGGGCTTGGAGGAGGTGATTAAGCCTTGAGGGAATGCCCTTATAAGAGAGATCAAAGGGTTCTGGCTAGCCTTCCCCCTTGAGAGGGCTCAGCAAGAATGTATCGTTGTTGACCAGGGCCACCCTTCCTAACTCAGAATCTGCTGATACCTTGTCCTGGACTTCCCTAGGCTCCAGAACAATGAGAAGCAATTTTCTATATCTATAAATTATCAACTGTAAGGTGTTCTGTTACAGCAGCAGGAATAGACTCATACATACTTCTAGAGTCAGTTTTCACTCACTAATAAACACTGGGTTTTAAGTTGTGTGTGGTGTGTGTGTGTGTGTGTGTGTGTGTGTGTGTGTGTGTGTGTGTGTGTGTGTGCGCCCATGGGAGATGTCTTGTATTCCCTGGGGCTAGAATTACAGATAGTTATTAAGATACCCAATGTTGGTGCTAGGAACCAGATTCAGGTCAAGAGCAAATGCTGCTCCTAATTCCTGAGCCATCTCTCCAGCCCTGATGGATCATCTTGATTGTCAAGTCAGTGGACTCTGGAATGAACTACAGACACACCTATGGGCAGGTCTTTGAGGGCATTTCCAGGGTGGCTTGACAGAGGGGAGAAGACATTGCTCAAGAATAGACTGACCTCCTAGCAGGTGGCCCAAATATAAACATCCAGAGAACGTCAGTGCAGCTCCCCTGCCTGTCTTGATTCCGACTGGAGAGTGTGCCTGCCTTCACTTCTGCGACTGTTGTCACCCTGCACTGACATCAGACTCCAGCCTGGACCTGTGGCTCCCCAGGAATCTCTCAGGTCTTCTCACACCGCCCATATTGTCTGTAAGCCTTTGCTGGGGGATGTCTTTCTGTACGCTGTGAATATATGTTGTTCCCATTGGTTAATAAATAAGCTGCTTTGGCCTATGGCAAGGTAGCTTAGAGGCAGGTGGGAAACTCAAGGAGAGAGACAGGAAAGAGAAAGGCGGAGTGAGAAAGACTATGGCACACAGCTCTAAGATGCTTAGCCGCTGACGTTTCTTCCTCTTTGGAGTTACTTGATGCAGTCTGTACCTCTCACTCATCTTGACTTAACAGGTGCTTCACACACAGTAGGAATTCAATAAATATTTGCACTTGAGTGGGTGAAGTAGCTTTGTGTGAACAACAGAGATGCGTAAGCAAGGAAATAACATATACAAACTTTTCAAGAACTAAAGTACGTGTGTGTGTGTGTGTGTGTGTGTGTGTGTGTGTGTGTGTGTGTGTGTGTGTGTGGTTTCTGTACATACATGTGTGTAGAGGTCAGGAGTCATCTTGGGTGGTTTTTGTTGGGCACCACCCACCTTGTTTTTAAAGACAGCGTCTGTCATCGGCCTGGTGCTGGCCAAGCAGGCTAGGCTGGCTGGCCAGTGAGTCCTAGGGCTCCACCTGTCCCCACCTCTTCAGCGCTGGGATCGCAAGTGCCTGGTTTTGTTTGTTGTTGTTGTTGTTTTGGGTTTTGCTTTTTTTTTTTTTAAATGTATGTTCCTAACAGTAATTTCTCCAACTGAACTAACGTACCAGCCTTCTGCCTGTATTACTTAGCGGCCACTATCCATATTTCAACTTCACTAAGTAGTCTGGTGTCTTCAGACTTCATTCTTTATCCTGGAGGTTGAGGCAGGAGGATCATGAATTTCAAGCCAGCTGTGTTACATAGACAGACAGAAACACACACACACACACACACACACACACACACACACACACACACACACACGGCGGGGGGGTGGTCCTTAGCCTCTTGCTACAACCAAGAGTCTTTCTACTCTCCTCTGATATGATGAGGAATAGACCTAGCCTAAGAAGCATTTGGCAGTTGGGCAGTGGCAGTACACGCCTTTAATCCCAGCACTTGGAATGCAGAGGCAGGGGGATCTCTGTAAGTTTGAGGTCAGTCTGGTCCACAAAGCAAGATCCAGGACAGCCAGGACTACATATTGAAACCGTGTCTGGGGGGAGGGGAGGAGGAGGAGAAAGAAGAAGAGGAAGAAGAAGCAGCAGCAATTGGCTTCTTCATCTTGAGGTATTGTAATGAACATAGTTTTTTAAAAAAATGCCTTTTAGTCAAGTAAAAATAGCTTAGCCAGGAGCCCCACTACACCCAAGGCTGCGCCTGATAACCAGAACCCAGTGACAGTGCTCACTCAAGATAACCAGACACAGTCCTAGTACCCCACGATGCCCACTGGACACTATCCAAGTAGAGACCAAGAGTAATGCTGTGCTCTGCATATCCGCACGATCTTCATCTGCCTTGTGGCTGGAGAGTCTCCCCCAGGAGTCTGACCCTAGAATCAGAGGCTTCTGGCAGAGACTGGACCTGACCTTCACCTAAGATATGTCTCACAGGTGAGCAGCCTCAGGAGATAGGCTTTTAGGAGTTAGGAGTTAGGAATTTAATGTGTGAACCTAGTGTGACCCTTAGCGTAATAAAATAAAACTTGTTATACTAACTACTTGCATCTACCTTCCTGCTCGTGACAGGTATCAATACAGGACAGCCTGCTGGAAATTTTTGATTTTTTAATGTCTTCTGTCCTACTGTTCAGGTTGGCCTCAAATTCCTTGGCTCAAGCAATCCTCAGCCACCAACTTCCGCAGTAGCTTAGACTACAATAAGAGACCATCACATTCAGTTTATTTATTCACTCACTCTTTATTTAGTTTTACGCTCACAAAATATACAGTCTAGGGGCTGGAGAGATGGCTCAGTGGTTAAGAGCACTGACTGCTCTTTCAAAGGACCTGGGTTCAATTCTCAGCACCCACGTGGCAGCTCACAACTGTCTGCAACTCCAGTTGCAGGGGACCCAAGAACTTCACACAGACAAAACACCAATGCACATAAAATAAAAATTAAAAAAAGAAACATATATATATATATATATATATATATATATATATATATATATGAACAACCTAAGCTGGCCACATGGTTAGAAACTTAGTGAGCCTTTATTGTATACTACCTTCTTTAAGTCAATGGCTTGTTTTACTTATTAAAGGTTGACCAGTGGTCCATTGTGACTCACTCCAGCCTATCTAGTCCAGAAGGTTCTTAAGAACAGTATGCTCTCGGTCTCCTTCCCAACAAGACCAACACTAGTCACTGAGTGCTACACAAATCCACAGCAAGAATCAGAGGCACGGGGGTTCTCGCTGGCTGTGGATGTGAGGATAAACTGAAGAGGCAGGGGGATGGCAATTCTACAGTCCCTATTAAAAATTGTCTTGAGTGTAAGCATTGCAGCTCAGCTCAGGTGGAAAAGTATCCTAGCAGTCAGGAGCCAAGGAATACCACAAAGTCACACTGTAGGGCCAATGAAAGAACACCCTCCCCCTGAGACCTGAGCTAAGGAAACACATCCTGCCCCTAACTAACTCAGGACTTGAAATCTAACCAATCCCTGAGCATGAAAACCAACCAATCCCTGAGCACAAAATCCAACCAATCTCTGAGCTTATCCCAAG